AAAATGAAATTTTTATAAAGTGAAATAAATGCTTGGTAACTTTTATCCGACAGCTAAGATAAATTAAGGGCAAAAATTCTCTCCGTAGAAAAGGAGATTCTATATAATTTTGATATTCTCCGGTCCCTTCGATCAACCCATTCATTCTGGTTTCAAGTTAATTTATGTATTTTTCGTACATAAGTAGAGTTCAGAGACTACCAGTAAATCAGTAATATGAGATGTATTCACACTATTTCGAATTTTTCCACAATGATATGAGTAGAGTTGGTGTTTCCATTAAATTTCACATAGCCTTGTTTTCTCAAAAGTTGTTCTCATCCAGGCTGGAGTCGACTGCAGTTTCGACCTGCATAGGTCTTATCAGCACCCCCAGCGAGATTCGAACTGTGAGCTTGACACTTTAAACGAAATAGGATGAATACATCTAATATAACTCAATTACTGGTAGTCTTGAAACTCTACTTATATAAGAAAAATATGTACTGTAGTCGATTGTTATAGTAAAACTTCCTTTACTTCATCGACAATCCCACCAAAGAGTGTGATATGGGAAAAAGCCTGGTCTTCGTTAAAATTGACATCTGTCTTGTGATCCAAGGAAAATCGTGGCAACGTGGAGGACGTGTTAATCTGTCAAGCTCTCATTCTGCACTGTCACGTTTCCACTCTCGCTGGGGGTGCTGATAAGACCTATGCGGGGTCAAAAGGGCAGTCCACTCCTGCCTGGATGAGAACAACTTTTGTGAAAACAAAGCTATATGAAATTTAATGAAAACGTCAGCTTTACTTATAGCATTGTGGGAAAATTCTGCTACCAGTCCTTTATCACCTTAAACGAAATAGGGGAAATACATCTCATATATTATCTATTGCTTGCAGCCTAAATAGTATAAATTCTATTTTATCACTCCAATTGATGTGCACAATACGACTATTTCATATAAATTCTGCTAAAACGGTCAGTCAGAGCATCTATCACTTACCCGAATCCAATATTTTACTCGATGTTGCTAAGAGATTTTTTAGCATTATTGTGAATTTAACACCTGAATAAAACCGTCCACTCGTTAACAGTTTACATTTTTCATTGCAGCTGGCGGTCGATCCGATCTTTGTTTGTCCTATATTGATGCCTTTTCCTTACTTTTTCTGTCTAATAATCTTGCATTACACTAATTGCTTATTCATACTAAACATTTATTCAATATTTTAATAACGAAACAACATTATTTTGACTAAACCATCAATAAGATATATTTGTTTTGTTTTGCTTGCTCTTATATATCTACAGCGAAATCATAGACCGCCTGAGAAAAGGATGTCTAATGCTGCTGCAATAAGCAATAATTTTTTTATAAGCCTCTACCAACTCTAATCTTTAAAAATAAGATTAATATGCTTAATACAAACTCTTTTTTGATTATTTACTATAACAGTTTTTCTCTGCCCAAAGCGTTCATGAAATTGACTTTATCATCACGAAATCGCTTATGAGCATAGTAAATCGGCCTATGCATGCGTCTATTTTATTTATTTAATGTAATCATGAGGCTAACTTATTAAACATTCAGGAAGTCTCTGATGATTGATAATGAAAGGCAAGGGGGGGGGCAAATATGAATACGCCCTGTCCAAAATGTATAAGTTACTATTCCATAAGTCATATAAGCCAACAAACCTGTTACAATCGGTGTTGTAATTATTTTTACCTTAGTCAAGAAAGTTTTTCCAGTTCTTGGGAATAAAGGTCAACACGCCGATCCAGCACATCTGATTAAGCCGGCTTCTATCAGGTCTGAACGGTGCAAAATACAGCAGGATACATTGTCTTGCTTTATTGTTTCTTATCAGCTGTCAAAGTTATGGAGGTTAGTATAGAAAATCACGATTCTTATAGTTCACTACAATGCAGCCAAATAGATAATCTTTTAACAACTGGCAATAATTTGAAAAGATGTGTTTTATAAGCTTTTTACTATGTTATGAAATTTTGCTAAATCATTCGAATTTTTGGTGCCTATCTTTGTAAGCCTATTCCATTGGTGCATATCATCATTTACAATTAAGTTCGATCTATTTATCATTTTTTGATGCTTATTTAATCTCGGTCAAGACATCACTCTGTGTCTACAAAGGGACACAGTTTCAGTCATCGAAAAATGGTTAATAAATCCTTGTTTGAATCCCCCCCTATCACGTCCTCGAACAGCGTCGATGAACATGCTGGTGATATAGAGGTTGACTACGCTTTGTCTGGAAGCAATGCACTCACTAAAACGGCCATCGCAGAATTCTACGGCAGCACCCAAAACGGTAAGACTGAATCCAGTGGACCTATGCTATTGAGTGAGAGTACCTATCTTCCTGGCATTCGTGTATCTGATGCTCGATTAAACCGGACTATTCAGGAGACTTCGAATCCACCTGAACCGGGCAATGGTTATTCCTCATCGACCCCAGCAACTATGGCGGCAGCATGTACAATTAGACGGAGGAGCGGATCCGCTAACCAAGGGATGCAAAGGCTGGCCGATACTTCAGAGGAGGCTCTGGCTGATAAAGACAGTTCAGCCGGTTTGGGAATCGGCAGATTACGGAGGCGCCAGAGGTCGATTCAACAACGAACCAACAGTGGCAGCGGTGGCAGTGGTGTTAGCTACCGACGGTCTCGAACTTTGGAAAGATGCATTCTGCCTTCGAGTCTAACTGATATCAGACCAAACGGATCTAAATCTTCATCAATAGTCCGACAGACACAGAGAGAAAGAAAAAGGGAGGAAGGAAGGAACCAACGAAGCGTTGATGTAAAGAAAATGAGTGAGGTAACAGAAAAGTTGTATCGTGGACAACCGATTCAAAAGCAAATGACCAAACCAGTCCTTGCAAAATGGCGGCAAAATCGGCCACAAAAGGAATCCATTCAGTTAGTTCCGCAGTCTCATATGACCTCAAAAACAGGAGGAAATGGTAGTCCATTTGAAGTGAGTTATGTTCAAACCTTTATTTATCTGAGCATTTACAGTGATATATGTTTTTAATGATGTTTATCATTATTTAACTTTCTAATTTTTCAGAGTTATTCCACAATGAAATTACTAAGTTATCATATTTTGCAATGGTGCCTGACATGGATTCACTCATAGTCGGCTATAAGTGAATATCAGCAGTTTAATAAAAATTGCAAGAATTAATAATTGAAAAGTAAGTGCCTAGGTGCCATCCTCTAGCCGTTATATAAGCACCAATTAAGATTATTTTACTATGAATGTATAGTTTACTTGGGTTTAACCATACTACTTTCATGACTCAGCAAACCAGCGAATAGCTTTTATTTCATTTTACAGACTTGTCCAAACGGACAATTTTAGCAACTCA